AAGGTGTCTAATGATGTAGCGTTAGTGGTGTTCAGATTTAAAACAATTCATTACCAATTTTCCTGCCTGAGGTTGAAGCTCTAGTAAATAATAAATCAGCTAAACAAAAGCTGACTTTAATTTATTGCCCCGACGCTAATTAGAAACATCATTTGAGCAATAAACTTAAACACTTCCAGCAAATAATGCACGTGAAACCCTTCTCTCCCGTGTCTGGGCGTTTGTGGCCGCACTGCATTAAGACCAGCTTCATCTGTGGCGGAATTTGCTCTCGCCGGGATGAATAATTGAAGGGGGAACAGGATCCGAGGAGGCTATAATTGAAGAGCCCTTGTCACCTCTGCTTTTATGTATGTTAGTGTAGAAGTCCATCAGCAGCTCCTTGATGGTGTATAAAACGAAGTGGCATCCCCTCCAGCAGCAGGAGATACTGTATTCCATTAAAAAGACCGTGTGCGTGTGTGTGCCGCAGAGAGGGAAACTCTCAGGGCTAAAAGCCACTTGAAGTCTTCAGACCGATTGATCTGTATTCCCTCGTTATAATCCGTCTCATCATACTTGAGTTAATGAGGCAGGGGCGGGGGTGATCTGATGGTCCTTGACAAATTCATTAGGGAGGCTGCGGGACATTTTATTTGACTGTTAAACATCGTGTTTGTTTGGTTTAAGCAGTGCCAACATCAGCATGCCGCTGCCTGGAGCTATAGTGTTTTGTTAACGAGGGCTTCTGTAAAAAGATACTGGAAAGGGGACTCGGTGTGCAGTGTTTGCTCTTGCCTTGGCTCCTCCTGCCCCCTCCCGCTCGGTACAGCGGGGAGCTCGAGCTCGTGTAAATCCAGGCGTGCAGGCATGGTACGTGCCACGGTATTTTCTTCACGCTGAGGATGGCAAAGTAGCAGCGAAGGGCTGCTATTAAATTTACAAAGACTTTTTCTTTCTTTCTTTCTTTCTTTCTTTTTTTTTCCCCCTAAAAGAATGCTATGTGCTTGTAATAACCCTTAAAACAACAGAAGAAGAAAATAGCTCAGAGTTTTAGCAATAAGCAGACAAGTTTCTTGCTGTGTTATGATATAGCATACTTGCATTTCATTGCCTATCTATTCATTGCCTTATCGACATGGCATATGTTACATATTTCACAGCCTTTTTATTCTGAACGTTGTATTTTAAGGTTTCTATAACATGCTGCTGATATAAGGTGTAATTTTTAAGGCAAATCAAAGTTTAATCAAATTGACTTGAGGCTATGAAAGGATTTCTGCCAAATCTACCCTTTTTCTCTCCCTTGGTGAAAGTGAGGGGGAAAAGTGAATTCAGGAACAGGTGGTCCCAAAAGGGTAAGAAGTATTTTTAAGAATAGCATATGAAATATGAATGTGTATGCATATGCTTTGTTCATGGCAGCTTTGTAGATGAGACCCAGCTAGCATTCCATTATTTTCTACTAGTTGGTTTCCTCTCTGTCCTTTCATTTAATGGAAACAGTTCTGCAGAAAAGGGAGTAATTAATCTGCTCGTGGAACTTAGCATTGTATTATTTTTTTCCTGGAGATCAGTCTTCAAACATTCTCAGCTTTAAGTGCTTTGTAGGACTCTGCTTCCATTTATAGAAGAACAGTATGGGAAAAGAGCTAGTGCCCTTTGCCTGTCGTTTTCATACATTCCTGCACTGCTGATGGAGCTTGAACTGCTGCAGGGAATGTATGGATTTGAAAAGAAATGATTCAGTAATGCACGTTGTGTTTCTCCCCATCAAAACCGGGTTAATAGTTACAGCAAATGCTGCTGTGGGTTTGACAGATAAAATTCCTTTTACATTCAGTGGTATACAGTGTATACCTTTTCTTGAAAGTCATGGCTTGGCTTTGCTGTCTGCTGATCTGTTCTGAGGTCTGTATGTATGAAGTTAGTTGATGGCACATACTGAGGAGAAAAGATGATTTCATTTCTGCACATGTCATTAATGCATCTCGTCAGTTAAGAGTGTTGCAT